AAACTATCTTGTAATTCCAAAAAGAAAAACAAAACTTATGGCATAACATAGTTTTGTAACAAGTAATTATACAAAAACTTTTATAATGTACCATTAAATATCGTAATGTGTAACACTGAAAATTGTTAAAAATCAAATAAATCAATAAAATAAAATAAAATAAATAAAAATAAAAAAAAACTACAATATGATGTCCTCTATTATCGAAATTGTAAATGATTTTTAACAGCTTTTCTAAGAATATAAAATATGCATTATTGTTATTTTATTTTACTCAAACAAGCTCACTTTCAGAAATATGTTATCTATATCTATAAATATTTTTTTTAAAGAAACTATACTAATATGTATTAATATATTTCCTTCCTTTTTCCAGTAAGTACTGGGAAAAGGAGATAAAAGTCATCTCCTCGTAAAAATTAAGAAATACATTTTATTGCTATACAAAGAGATACAAAATTGACAAAAAACAAGACCTAAATGCTTTTGGTTCAGATTCTAATGTCAAAAAGTGTACCCAAAAGTACACAAAAAAAGAAAAAAAACTAAATAAACGGAATGATCTGAAATGAAGTTTGAGACTCTACAAGAAATTTGTTCTCTCCTTTTTTACTAGTCATTATCATAGTGATGAGTATTATATACTCACACATGTATCTACTTCGTGAACGCTTCTAGTGGTATCTGTCCACATTTATAAAATTCTTGAAAAGCGGAGAGTGCGTTCCCGTAGTTCCACTCCATTTCTCGTAAACATTTCAAGCTCCATTCCAGATTCATAGTCGTTTGTTGACTTAACGTTACTGTCATCTGCTGTTTTATCTCCTCGCTGGGTTCCATTGTCGCGACTCTTGCGACTTCTCCGACTTCTACCGCAGGTGTCTGCTGAGTTTGCTGATTATTTAATTGCTGATTCAATTGCTGACGTAGTTGCTTCAGTTGCGCCTCAGGCGGTTGACTGATATGCAACTGCTCATTCCGAATACAGTATCCATCACCTTCCGGAACGATCATGAATGTCCGATTGAAATGGCGAATCGGTTCATCCCTCTTGTTAAGCTCTTGGAAATAACCCGTTAGTGTGATGAACATCATTGCTTGCTGCAAATAGATAAGAAATAAATTATAATAGATAAGCAATTATATTATCATCTTTTATATCAACCATGACAATATATGACAACATACCATCCGTAACAATAAAAACTAGTTACTTACTGTAACAAGAGAGATGTCCATAGTAAAAGTATTTAGCAAATGCCTTGTTCGTGACATTTCTGATAATAGAGAAACTACGGGTAATCTACCCTGTTTCAATAACTTGTGTCTTTTGTTCGTGTCATTTATTTTCAATAAATTCCGATTTTCCATAAAATATCCATTTAATCTCCAACAAAAATAATTATATATAATATAAAATAAATTAATCGGACTCAATATCACGAATATTACTGAGACATGTACAAATATTCTTCAGAAAGAAAACAAAGAACGTAGCAATATACATAATACTTACTTGTAAGAATCGGTTATAGTCATACTAAAGCAAGCATCTTTGTCATATGCATTAAGTAAGGCTTGGCGATTCTCACTATCGAATACCGTGAAATACTGTTGCAAAAAACCACCCGCAATCTCTCGCGCTGTGACATCGGTAACAAATATTCTCTGTGATGAGGGAATTTTAGTTTCATCTACATCGAAGACGATCGGTCGTGGCAATTCCATGCCATCCTGTAAAACATAATAAAAACTTGTGTCACATAAAAAAAAATATTTTTGATACATGCGTAACATCTAACAATGTATGATATGATACTCACTAAATGCATTAGTTTTGGGAATCGCTTCCGGACATCACTATAATTGGAAAAAAAAACTCCACATGGATCGAAAAAAAAAAATACAAGTTTTGGTAACTGATAAAAAAGGCATGCAAATCATTTATCTGAAATACTTGAAGAAAATTAATTGCGCACGATAGTATTTGATAAAATTAAAAACAAAAGTGAAAAAATATGCGTAATTTAACCATATTTTTAACCATATTTTTATGGCAAACCCAAATTAAACTACTAAAGAATTATTTAAAAACGTTTAGCTAAGTGAATTAAATAAAATACATGTAAAAAATAAAATGTAAAATAAAATGTAATGAAATTGCTGCTGATACCGTTCTGCAAACATATCATCATATTATTCTTATTTTGTTTCTCTGTTTTAGGTAAAAAAAAAAATTACATTCAAACGATACGTTACCTAACATAATCACTTTGCCGAGACTTATATTTGTAGCACACGGGATTCCCAGTTAACTTCAATTCACTGAGTTCCAGATTCTTAATGGAATCAAGCTGCTGGATGTCTCTGATCTATGTAAATAAATTAATAAAATTTGACTAGTCAAAATAGAACATAATGCAATACATATTTTCACATTCACTCTGTATATGTTATACTCACTTTGTTTTTACCAATGTAAAAAATTTTCAATTTTAAGAATTTATCACTTAATATACTAAGTCTTTCGATATTCTGTAATTTGTTGTCTTCTAAGTTTAAGATTTCCAAATTCGGTATATATTCGGCCACAATATTTAACACAGTCATCAATATATCAGGATGAAACAATGCACAAAAATAATCAGAGACAAGATCTGTAAAACAAGCATAATTGTAAATTTTAATTTTAGGATTACATTAATCAATAAGTCTTTGAATGTATTATTGTCTTTAATATATTTAAAATTATTTCTACCTGGATCTAGATGAAATTTGGATAAATCTAAAGCATTTGTCTCTCGGATGTATCTCTTTTCCATTGCTTGCTTTAATCGTTCCTTCAACTTGTCATTAATCTCACATACCGGAAATTCTTTACGTTGCCCTAGTTTTACTTGCAATTTAAACCCATCAGTCATTATAATCTTGCGATCACAGTTTACCAATGCATTTGCCATCTTAAAATCATCTACATAGAAACTAGCTTCCATTCCTATCACCTTATACTATAAATAAATTTTTTGTTTCAAATGCAAGAGTTCAAACAACATTTTGTATGTAATATCATTTATATAACTCTATTATTATACAAGATTTATATTATACACATATGATAATATATCAATATTAAACTAACATTAAATAAAAAATTTTTATAAAAAAAAATGTTACTAACCATTATAGGAACAAAGATTTGAGCCATAAAATTCAATAGGGATCTTATTACATCATCTTTCTTGTATTTAGAACCATATGGTATCTGCAATATATAAACAAGAATTTACAATAAATCCACATATGTATAATTACATATAATATGATTAGAGAACTATACTTACAATAATTCTATAATAATTGGAGTTTACCACAGGAAGAGAATGCGATATAGAATCTGATTGACTTCTTTTTAAATTTCTGTTTGGCATAAAATTATTTGTCTTCTGAGACATGATTTGCCAAGCTCTGTTTTCTTGATCCCTATCTCTTGGAACAATTATCACTTGTCTTGAATCTTTGTTTGAGCCAATCAGAAAACTATTCTTAAAATTTATCAGTGGTAATTTATGCCACTTTTCCCTATTGTTAAATCTTTCATTCTTAAATGATATGCAATGCTTAATGGGACCAATATTAGATCCATTATTATTTCTTCTAATGTTATCATGACCTAGAGCAGTATAATGATAAAATGATAAAATTAGAAAATATATATAATTATTTCAATAGCAAAGCATTTCATGTTTAACTTCTTTAATAAATAGGGATTCTTGATTCTTGGCAATCTCTAATTATGCCAAGAATCATATCTATTTAAATGTCATATCGACATTTTGTATAATAATCTCATGTCATAATGGGGCAGAAGTTTTATTCTCGAAAAATATTGCATATGAAAATTTTAGAATTTATATTTTTAGAATTTATAAAACACAATATAGATTTTCGTATGCGATACTTACTTTATACAGTTTAGATTTAAGAATTAAAGGCCTGAATATTATATTTAGTGCTAAATCTAAAAACGCTTCCTCTTTCACTCAAAGTATTCGAAACGAATTTAACATTCTTTTTTTTCTCACGTATCTTATTTTCTCACGATTGCTCAACCGGTTCTACTAGCCATAGTCATAAATGAGTTTATTATCTAATCTATAATTAATATTATCTAAGCAAACCAATATTGGAAGATGACTCGAATATTTACTATTGTCGGACTGTATATCAAAGAAATATGCTTGATACAAGACAGAAAGCTGAGGAGAAAGCTGAGAAGAAACCGCAAAATGTGAAAATACTTACGGAAATAACTCTTGTTCTCATTTCCTCGGATGTTGTGATCATCCCATATTTTTGATTTATTTAACTTCCACGGCATCATCTTCAAAAGTAATACAAATCTGAAAAAAACTCTACCGACATCAAAGGAGTGCAATTATGTTCCACTTAAGCCAGCGGCACACGATGCTTTTTTTCCTGCTGATTTGCTAGTTGGATTTGCGTGCTCGTTGAGCTCTTGTCTTTGATTGGTATATTCTTTTGGATCTAAAAAAATATACCAATCGAAGACAAGAGTTCAACAAGCATGCGAATTCAGCTAGCAAACTAGCAAGAAAAAAAAGCATCGTGTACCGCTGGCTTAATAAAATATTTATCATATACACATGCGCATATGTCATGGCGCATGCGCATGAGTTGGAATACCAGAAACGAAAGCGAAATTAATATGGCTGTGAATAACGACGGAAGTGGAACATTCTAGATTTCAGTGAACTTTATCTATTATTCTAAAAATATATAGCTCTTAACTCTTTCGAGTGCGACCGTGTGTGTTGTCCGAGAATAAGTACGACTGCGCGCGGCCACGCAGCCTGATTACTGTTAATATTTTACCGTAGATTGTGTGATATAAGTGAATATAAGTGACCGGAACATCGACACGTGACAATAGATAATACGCAATATTTGTTTGCGAGTCACGTTCTCTGGATATTTATAATCTACTGTGACGGATTCAACGAATTATTCCGTCATTATCATTTTGCCGATTTGGCGGTGGAGCCGTTTGAAGTTCGTACTCTTGGATACCTTCTGGAATTCTGGAGTTTATCATTTCATCATATCTACGACTGTTTTAATCCAGATATGTATTCCTTTTTTATTTATTTCACTTTATTTGTGATGCTCTATACTATCTTTTACAGTGAACGATAAGAGCTTATTTGTTATTGTAATTATTATATCTTCTTCTTTGTAACTTATTAATCTTAGTGACTGTTTAATAGTCTTTTGTTGCTATTCTCATTTTATTCACTCAATTATTTGCTGATAAAAAATTTTTTGTATGTGCTATTCTTTAAACTCTTTGATTTTATGAACAATATACTTTCTCACTCTTGTTTATTTAATTTTCTTAATTATCTCTATATTGCATCACTATTATATTTAATTGTCTTTATATTGATCATCAGATATTGATACATACTACCTTATTTTAATAAATTGCTTGACTTACATCACTTGCTTTATTAGGCTTTATTTATTCATTTATTTATTTACTTTTTATTATCAATCTTTTTGACCGTATTATACTATCACTGGAATGTGTCTATTCTGAATCTATTTAATCTGATTTATGCTTGTTTATATTTTTATTATGCATTACTTTAACTGTTTTTACTTATTAAATTATATATTAATTTAGTTTGTTTATTATTTTATTGCTCCTGTTTAAATTTATATAATTTTTATTTATCTCTGTATAGTATTATATACACTCATTAATATTTTCATTTCTATTTCAATCTCTGATTCAGCTTAATTCAGTTTAATTTAATCTAATTAATTCCATTGAATTCTATTCATATTTCTTATATTCTTACATTATTTACTACTTATAAATGTTATTCTAATCATTAATTAATTATTATTCTAATTATTCATCTTATTCAATTTTAATTATCTTTGATTATTAAATGAATAATTCCAAATTTTCTCCTATATCAATTTTAATTTAACTTTTTTTTTATTTAATTTATTATATTTAATTTATTAATTTATTTTAAGGTTTAGCTCATTTAATGTAATTTTCATTCATATAATCACATCATTCTATCCATTAATTACACTTTATTTATTTACACTTTATTTATCTATCAATTAATTTCTCTTGAGAAATTATTTTCATGAGCGCCGGGGAGCTGTTGTATTAGAATGCTATTCCCTGGCTACCACTGTATGTACACTTGCACACCTTTTTGCACTTGTTGCATATATATTTGCCTTTTAATTTGATTTTATGTTATTACTTAATCATTATTGCGCCTATTTTGTGTAATTTTTTGTATTTCAGTAATTTATTTAAATCTTTATCTTGTCAGGCAAATGTTTAATTTGGATCATAATTTTGATCTATACATTTAAATAAAGGGTGCGTAGGGGCTAGCAAGGCCCTTACTATGTGTGCTACTTAGTATTCTATTTTTATTTATAAAGATCAAGATGTAATGATTATCAGGATGTAATGTACAAGTATTCTTCATGCAGTTACTTCGCACAAAAAATGCACAAAATCTTAATCTATTTACTGAACAAAAATAAGATAAATAAATGGACTCTTCAGTTGATTAATAAGCAAGCTTGCTGCTCACAAACTTTTGTTTTTTTTTTTTTAATTAATATTTCATAAATAAAAAAACAACTGTTGTTAATCAAGTTAAAAAATAGAATTTAAATGACAATATCTTTTATTTCTTTTTACTCCAACCCATGTGATAGTAGTTTTAATTTTTTAAAAAAAGTTATGTTACGAAATTGCCATATCTAATGCAATTTTAGTTGTGATCAAGCTAAAAAATAAAATCTAAATGCTAATACCTTTGTGATCTTTGTATTCATTGAAGAGCCTGCCTATTCTAACTCAAATGATATTAATTAAGTTTTAATTAAAAACAAAAAATTTATTTCCGTGTTGCCAACTTAATTCAAATGATATCATTTGTATAAAAGATTTGATATCAACGCCAAGTTATAATCCAATCTTCCTATTCTTACCCAAATGATACTAGATGATTAATTCTTCAAAAAAAGAAAATTTCGTTTCCACATTGTCAACTCAAATGATTGTGTAAAATCTGTATAAAAGATATCAATAATTGGCGCCAAGTTATAGTCCTACAAATGGAGCTACAAATTCAAAATTAAATTTTTGCGTGTATTAAAGGAAAAACAGCATATTGTTCGTTTCCATATGGCAATTACATATTTTCTGATGATATTTTTCAATGGCCATGATTTCAATTCTGACTATGAATATACAATAAAAATACCAAGCAGTGAAAAAAGACAAGGAACATTGAACAAGTTTTATTTTTTCAAAAATTCGTGACGTTGATGAAAATGTTATTTTAAAACGATCTTAAATATAAGAACTGACTATGAATACCGGCCTCGATGGCATCTCGACTTAAGATATATTCACGAATTGTGTGCAAATGGCATCTTCGGACAATTGATCGTCGAAGGCATCTATGTCATTTATATTTTTTTAAAGGAAAGTTCATTGTCTGTCTGTCTCTCTCACTCTCTCTGTCTGTCTGTCTGTTTGTCTGTCAATTTTTTTATTTTGTAAACAATTTTCTGGTTGAATAAGATTATCTATTTTCTGAATCAGATTATCAATTTTGCTCTCCAATTTTAAAATGTGTTTTTTATTCTCTTGTTAACAATATTCTGTTACACCAAAATAATATATAATGTATAATTATGTTATGAAGGTTGTCGCGCCCCGCAAATTGTTGCAGGCACGATGTAGACGGGAGGTTACCCCGAATACTATTTTCGTATATATTATTCTCACACGTTAAGGATCGAGGACTCGGCCTCGCGTAATATCGAACTGAATGAGGACTCGGCCTCGTTGTGGTACAGAACTGAATGAGGACTCGGCCTCGTGTAACGCAGAACTGAATGAGGACTCGGCCTCGTGTAACGCAGAACTGAATGAGGACTCGGCCTCAAGTAACGCAGAACTAAATGAGGACTCGGCCTCGCTTGCTATCTCTTATCGCACGGATCCGTGTACTACGCTCGTCAAACTCGATCTCCCGTATTCAGATGCGAGCTTATATATATAACAAAATCGGGAGCCGCAATCCAGCCAATCACAGCCCGATCCTGTGGCGGTGTTCTGTCCTTGTCGCGAAATTCCACGAGCCGCGAAACGTAGGCTCGACGATGTAAACAAGGGCAAGAATACAAAGAGAGCCGCGACATGTGTGTTTTTGAGATACGTAAGAGGCGGCGTCTCGTAATATGATTTAGCCGCTATTCCGTCGCAACAAAGGTTAAAGGAGAATCAGATATTTTTATTCTTACCACAGCAGAAACACTTGATTTTTTCCAAATTTCCATTTTGCAAAAATTTTTGTTGGACACTAAAAGGAAAAAAATGGTAAACCTTAAGAATATTATATGTATTTGAAATGTTAATAATAGTTTATCTGGTTACGTGAATTAAGGGACCTAAGTCATCAAAAAGAGAGAAAGAAAAAACTATATATATTACACATACCAGAAAGGAAAAGAAATGAAATACTTGTTTTGTTACAATAATATAAAGATATTTGTTTAAGATACATCTTCTTCGAAATAAAATATATATTTATATCAGTAACACTGAATTTATCATAGTTTATATTTCATAGTTTTAATTTATTGATATTTTGTTTTTTTTTCGTAATTTTAGTTTATTAATATTTATGAATAATATTAATAATAATAATCTTTATAAAGTGGAAATAAAAAAATATTGTATTGACAAAAATCATCAAACTGTTATTTCCTTTATTCCTTATGTGTAAATTAAAAACTCATATATGGTAAATAATCATATATATGGTAACACAGTCTCAACTAAAGTTAAATACAAAAATGTTAAACTCACAAATCGGTTTATACTTAAAAAGTTATATTAATTAAGAACCTATATTTAAGACTTATATTTATAGTTAGGCCATCTTGACGGTCCGAAAATCATAAATAACTTTTTGAATTTTTTTCAAAAAATAATATATATGAAAAATGTTGAAGATCTTTATTTTATATATCTTAAAGTATATAAAAAATTTTTTGCGTGTGATTTTCGGAAAGATGATTTAACCCCTTAAGTAATAAAAGTAATATTGAGATCAATCACAAATTTTTTATCACATTAAAATTTATCAATGTAATACAATCTAACTGACTTATTCATTCGATGACAAAAACAATGGAACAATGAAGAATGTATATCTTATCTCAAATATAATTTTAACTTTTTAATATATTAATATATTATTGTTATAAGAATATTGCAATAAGAACATAATATTGTTATAAGAACTTTTATATAAAGTAACAATAAAAAAATATGTGACAAAATAAATCTTATTTTCTGAATGTAACAAA